TCTTTCCCTTGTCTCAGGTTTAGCCTCAGCACTGAGTCTACTTTGTCTGTCTCTATTCACTGGCCAGGGCAAATAACATCAATAAACTAGCTGATGAATTCAATTAACAAAGCACCTGTACAGCTTTTGTTACCTGGGTTCTACAGTCAGCAGGGATCTTGACCTTCAGGCTGGATTAACAGAATCAGAAAAACAGCTAAGAATTTGGGGTTATTATAGAAACGTGTGGAATAACTTCAAATTATCAAGTAAGGTGAAGGCACAATTTACAAGACTTGTGTGCTGTCATCCCTGATTTATGATTCAGAAACATGGACTGCATGTAGTAGGCACATCAAGAAATTGAACAGCTTTCACATGAAATGCCTGTGTAAGATCATGAAAATATAGTGGGAAGACAAATACCAAACACTGAGGTGCTGGAGCATGCAAGAGCAACACATTTAGAAACCACTATCAGGAAGAAGAGGTTGTGAAGGCTTAAGCATGTCAAGAGAATGGGAGGAGACAGTATCTTCAAGAATATTTTGTACAGCAGGGGTAGGCAACCCCTGGCACACATGCTGAGCATGGCATGTGAGGCCATTTTCCTTGGCAAACATTGGGGCTGGGGAGGCAACAGCTGTTTGCAGCCTCCTGGCTGCAGCTGGCCCCAGCTCTGGGTAGCTGCTGCCAGCTGGGAGCCACAACTGCCCGCCGGGGCTGGGAGGGCAGCAGCTGTTTGTAGCCTCCTGGCTGCAGCTGGCCCTGGCTCTGGGTAGCTGCTGATAGCCATGGAGCCTGGGCTGTTCCCATGGAAGCCGTGGTGCAAGCAGCCCGGGTTCCGTGGCTAGCAGCAGTTACCCAAAGCCTGGGCCAGCTGCAAACATCTGCTGCCTCTCCACCCTGGCCCCGGCCCCAGCTGCCTACCAGCCCCAGACCTGGCCCTGGGCTCCAGGGAGGCAGCACATACTGGCAGTGCTCCCTGCTGTGCTGCCCTTGCCACATGGGTCATGAGCAGGGTGGGGGGGCACAGGGGTTTTGGGTAGGGAGCAAGGGGCACAAGCAGGGCATCCTGCTATGTACCCCCTGCTCTCATTTTGTTTTTCTGGCATGTCGGCACTCCGGCACCTTCCAAGGTAGGCATTGTGGCGTTTTTTGGCACTCCAGCCAAAACACGTTGCGTACCCCTGTTGTACAGAAAGATTTGTGATGGTTCTAGAAAGCAGGATCACCCTTTATGGAAGTACCATGACATGTAAAAATGATATGAAGTTGTTCAACATTAATGGAGAAATCTGGGAGGAGTGTGCAGAATCTGTCTGACTTAGAGGGAATATTTGGTACTGGGTACATCACAATATGAAGCTGTTTTGATCCAAAGGATGGAATAAAAGCGAGAAAGGAGAAAGCAGCATGCTGTAAACTTGGACTTTGATTCCAACACATGGATCTGTGAAACTTGTAACAAGCTGTGTCACTCTTGAATTGGGCTTGTCAGCCACAATCAAATTCATCAGGCACCTGACTAGACCTCTTACATACACACCGTGACAGTTGCCTGTCTATATCTATTGTCAAAGTGCAACAGGGGCTGTGACAATGCTTATGTATGCAAAGAAAGCATAAGTTGTAACACAATGTTATTAACATAGCACCTTAAACATTTTTAAAAAGTAGCAGCAGATCTAGATCAATTTGAATATAGAAGGAAAATCCAAAATGTATCTTTTTACATGAAGTTCTTATTCTTTTAGGCCAGTGAGTGTCAACCAGGGTTCAATGACACCCTGAGGTGCTGTGAGATCCTTTTAAGGGTGCAACTGGGTACAAACACCTACATATAATTCACAAAATAAACCCAGAGATTTCAAACAGGGATCTAAAGTGTTTTATAAACATCCTGACCTGTTGGCTAAGTACAGACAGTCAAAAAGCCTAAGGCTGCATTGATTCAATCCTTGTGGGTTCCTGTAAACTGCTTAGATTGAACGGATAAGAAAGTGAACTGATGTTTGCTTTTCAAAAGTGAAAGGCAGCCAGACCCCTGCAGTGGCCCATACCAGGTGCCAGGGGTACTAGAACATGCCTGCCAGCCAATGCAAAGAGCTGGAGATGTGTGATTACCCCAGTCGTGCCCCCTCCTTAGTCTCCAATAGGTCAGTTGTGGAGAAAGTGGGGGCAGGACTTGCCTCTCCCTGCTGTGCCTAGCGGAGGGGGAGAGCTCACAGTGGGGGCATTACTTCTCCCATCCCAACTGGAAGCTGAGTCAATTCCCCTAGCTAAGGGGTGGGGAGGGAAATCTGCCTGGCTTCTTGCTGCTGTGGATGGAAAAGTCCCTCCTGGCAGCTGGGGGCGATCAATTTCTGATCACTTAAACCAGTTTATGTGCAAGTACTGTTCCTAGCTGTTGTGGTCTTTCTTAGTTATTTGCAACAGAAGAATTGATCTTATTATTTTTCCATGGCCAAAAAAACAAGTGAAAGCCAAGAGCTAGCACTTTCTCAGAGGTGCCTTGAGCTTAATGAAGGGTGCCTCAAAGGCTGCTGCTTTAGGCAGAGCTCTTACAATGGGAATTTTTTGTTTTACCATCAGATGTGCCCTTAACTAAAGTGTCATCCTCAAATGTGTTCCTATACATTTAAACCCAGTGGACCCTTAAGTATTTTGACTTAAGCTGAACTACAGTGGTGAACAGAAATGAACAAAGGATGTTTTGCTGTGCAGTAGTCTCTCACTTTTTGAAAGATATGCTCATTTCCTCACTGCCTTACAAAACAGCACTTTATCAGCATCCCTATTAGGATAACACTTGGAAGTTTCATTCAGGGAGTGGGTCCCATTGTGCTAAACACTTGGGTCTCCTATTAAGCATGAATGGGCAAGTTGTTCCTGTACAGAGAAAGGTGACTCCTAGTAGCTGAAGATCCTGAACACAGCAGTGATTACCCTACATAGTGAATGGGGAAGGCCATGGAAAAGCTCAAGCAAAAAATGGGTAGGTGCCTATTATTTGAAGTTTTTACAGGTATTATGCTACTGTAGAATTAGTCAGTGACTCTTGTAGACCTCTGAGTGAAATGAAAATACAGGCTAGGGAATCTTTCATTTTCCCATGGGATCACTGATAACCGCAACAAAAAGAAAAGACACCCCAAGGTTAAATAAATAGTTTGAGGAAATTTGGGAAACATTAACCTTAGAAAATGTCATTGATTTAACGAATGCCATAGCAACACAAAAGACTTCCAGTCAATCTCCCCAAACAGTTAAACCCAGTTACAGATGCTTAAAAATAAGTTACAGGGAATTGTTGCTTTTTCATTTAAAATGCATGCGAGTGTGTATAGATACTTTTTGTATGAGCATATAATATAGAGGGCTGTCTATTAATAAATCACTATAAACAAACCCCTTATTTCCCTGAAGACTGGTGGAGGGATATGCTTTTCAATCTTGCTAGATGAATGGAGCTGAGCTGTGATAGTGAAGGATTGCCAGTCTCCCACATAGTGCCACCTGCTGTTATCTCCTTCCTGTTTATAGAAGAGGGGTCCAGCTCAAGAACCCCTGGTCTCCTGTGTGGTAGCATGCCACACCTAGCTTAGCTAGGACATGCTATCTGCTCCAGAGAACAGGCTGGCTCTGCCCCTCTCCTCCCTAGCCAGAGCTCCAGGGGAGACTGAAGGCACAGCAGGGTCTGCCTGGTTTTCTGCGATGCTCAAGCAAGGATTCTCCCCTCTCTCCTCCCTCCCATCTCCCATGGCACAGACCCCAGCCCCATGGATTCTAGGCATGTGATATGGTAGCTAATGCTGAGAGGTGTCTGTGTATAGTTGGTCCAATAAAAGATACAACCTGAAAAAAATCCTGGATTTTCATGCAATTTCTTGCACAGCTACGTCATTCTAACACTACAATAATATTCCTTTAGTATTTCAAGTGACTAATAACCCCTAGTTAAATGTAAAACTGTAAGTGAAGGCAATGAATATTTTCTCCTGTTGAAGAATGTTATTCTTGGAATTTGTTTCTTTTTAAATGCTTTGTTGCAGTTTGAATGTGAGGAGGTATTTGAATTTAAACAACTACTCTATGGGAAGGGTTAGGAGGAACATGTGTTGAAAATCTATCCTATTGATTACATTTTAAAAATTTTATATTGATTAAGATTTTATCTGGATTTTAAAAATAGTTTAAGAATTAATCTTACAAACAGATACATTCATGTGACTACAGTTTGATTTTTACAGTAATGTTAAAGTCAGTCATCTGTAACTTTGCAGAACAGTAATGGCTTGTAAAGGTTCACATTCTCTTTCACTGAGTTTCCTTGGCATAGAGATGCACTTCCTTTTTATAAGCAGGAAATGGTCTATTTTAGATCATTTGTGTTTGTTCAGCACTCTATAATGATCCCTCAGCTGCTAGTACCCCATACAAATAGCAATATTATGAAAAGTAGTTTTAGGATTGAGAATAGAAAAGTTTTCTGTTTCTGTTTTTGTGCTGATGAGCCAAAGAGAGGAGATCCGGAAATAAAACTTCATTTTGGTGAACTTGCAATGAGATATTTGCAGAGCAAAGCCTTTCTGAGGAAGGCCCAGTCCCTAAGGCCTTCACAGAGCATCCTTAAAAAGATGATTAAAAAAAAATGCCAGTTCCACTCAAATTTTATATATGGTTTATTTTAAGAGTAATTCCAGTATGCAGAATAATTTTGTTATTTTTGCTGGGCCAGAAACGTGCAAGTTGCTGGCTGGTTTTGAACTTAGCTGTGAGATTTAAGCTTAATTTCTTGCTGAGAAAGATAATGGGTGACGATTGGCTTTTCTCACAGGCAAAATCTGAATCATTCGCCTTCATTTCAATAGATATTTATTCTTTGCTGCTAGAGGTGACCCAAGATTTGGAGTTCTTACTTTGCAAGACTACAGCAGGTACTAAAAATGCTCTTGCTGGTCCCCTGTGACACTTACACAAATTTGTAATGCATTTTTCTGTTTTTGAAGGTGGTCCCTGACTTTTATTAAACTACTCATCGCTCTAAAGGTTCTGGCTTCGTAAACAAATGCAGCTTCATGTCATTACTAGACAAAACCTGCCAATACTTGAAAATGACCAGCTGTTGCTCTGTTTCAAGTGTCTTCCAACAACAGGTAGTGCAGTAACAGTACAGTTAATATACAGAAAACTCTGTTTTGCTGGACATATATAGCTTGTTACTGGAACAGCAGTTTGTTACTGGAATATTTGGACAATGTTTTCCTTTCCGTGTCCTTGTTGTGACAAGGTGTTTAGCAGAATTCACAGATTCATTGGAATCTGGCAGGGCTGTGCTATGAGCTCTTTTGCTGTGGCCTCAAACTTGCAACCTGTAGGCTATCAACTATGCACCTTTAGCACCTGTGCCACTCAAGCCCCTGGACAATATTTTGATGATGTACTGTGTTCTCAAATAATTGTGTTGTTAAATTACCAAAGGCTTGATCCTACATAAGAATAGGTTTTCATGGTTGAGCCTTAATTTTGTAGATACATTTTTATGGCTCAGCCTGAGCACTATTTGCCCATAAATGGTTCTTTCAAAAGTGCAACCTGGCTTTTGCATTTTTGTCCTCTCATTTGACTACAATTATAATTACAACTAGTTGTTCATTCTTTGATGCAAGCCAGGCACATGCAGATCCTCTAATATTCCCCTGCTGTCTGTTTTACAGGTGCAAACTTAGAAATGAAAATTTGACAAATGAGAACTGTTGCAGCAAGGAAAGGGAGTTAGGGTCTTGACCTGGCTGCAGATTAAGGCCCGTTTAGCATGGATTTCCACTTGGAGTTCTCTCTTGCACACCTCCTTTTAGATGTCCAGCTTTTGATTTAAGCCATTCCCCCACCATTTTCTTCCTGATAATTATGGACAGTGCAGCCATGTCTAAATCTTGCAGATTCCTTCTTCATAGCATCTCAATGTGTTATGGCCTTTCCTAGCCATCTACACTGCTACCACTTTTGTCCAGGTACTCTTTTAAGCTGTTCACAACTTATCTTCATGCTGCCCATCATCTTTCATTTGCTCTTGAAATGCAAACTTTAGACTAGGTTGGCCAATGCTGCCAGCCTTCCTCACCCACTTGTTACATTTTCAATTCTGAGCTTTCTCTTGGGCTACTCTCTGTGCAAGGGAAGAGGTCCTTAATTAACACGTCAAAGCTACAGCACTGTTTTCTTTTAAGTCTTCCATTAAAGCTCGCTCTTTCTTTCAAACTTGCAAAAATATGTGATAGTGGCTAGGCTGCTGGCATGACAAAACCATTGCTTATTGCAACGATGATGTTTATTTCTTTTTTCGCTTCCCCCATTTGTGTGTATACAATTGTGGTTTCTTGTCTTAGGCTGAGAGTTCTGCATGGCACAGAATGTCAGGGTGTTTTAGGTCTGTATTTTGTACAGTATCTGTCACAACAGAATATGCTCTGTGATGAGACCTTCTAAGTGCTACAGGTAATATGAATAATAATTGTATACAGCATGATATATGAAACAACAGATACTGGGCAAATTTAGTCTTTGCTCAGTATCAAGAGTCGCAAGTGCATCTTGTAATGTCGTGAGGCTGTGTGAGTGTATACAGCCTTCAGGCACACTTGTTCTTGTGTGTAGGACATGTGGAAATGGTATGGGGGTTTTATGCAAGGAAGAGAGACTTGCACTGTATAAAGCAGCATATTTAGGTAGGAGATGCTTCTTTCTCTGGGCCTAGGCCTGGGCCAGAAAAATGACTTCTTGCATTGATCCAGAGAAACTGAAATGGTGATATTTATTGTATCTCATCTAGTCTGCACAAGAGAAGACTGAGGGGGAATTCGATAGTTGCCTTTAACTACCTGAAGGAGGTTCCAAAGAGGATGGAACTGGACTGTTCTTAGTGGTGGCAGATGACAGAACAAGCAGCAATGGTCTCAAGTTGCAGCAAGGGAGGTTTACATTGGATATTAGGAAAAAACTTTCTCACTAGTAGGGTGGTGAAGCACTGGAATGGGTTACCTAGAGACGTATTGAAATCTCCATCCTTAGACGTTTTTAAGGTCTGGCTTGACACAGCCCTCGCTGTAATGATCTAGTTGGGGATAGTCCTACTTTGAGCAGGGGTTTGGACTAGATGACCCCCTGAGGTCCCTTCCTACCCTAATTTTCTGTGATTTTCCTACCAACCCCTAGGTGTTTCTGGAGTAGGAAAGCACAGTCTAGTGTGTCACATCTGGTTCCAGATGGACCTAAGGCAGGCTCAAGAAGGGCCTGAATCAATATGTAGGTCCTCTGCAAATAGGTCATCAAATCACCTGCCATCTTCTTGTTCATTCCAAAAGCAACATACCTGAGGGCAGCCACATGTATGGAGACTGCAACCATCATCTGACCATCTCTATATCTCATGTTTCCAAGTGGCAGGCATTGATGTAAATGCCACAGATACTTTTAGTTTGCTGGCATCTCTTCTGTGTTTGTCTCATTGTGCTCCACTGGACGTTATGCAGAAGGCGAGATGTACTTTGTGCTTTCCTGTGATTGTTTCTTTATCATGTGCAGAATTCAAACATTTCCCTGTTGTACAGACTACAGAAAAGTGATTATCCACTTATGCTGCATTGGACTGATGCATGGTAGAATGCTCCCTTGCTCTCTTTGATTTCTGGTATAGTATCCTAAATTGCTGTTCATCTAAGATCAACTTTAGGAATTGAACAAAGCCCTACAGTAGAATCATTGCTTTCAGCCAGAAATTTAATGAAGCTTCCCATTGGTGTACTCTCAGTGCATTGTAGGTTTACAGAAGTTTCTTATGTTGTTGCTAGTATTTCATGGCAGGTTTCTTAAAGTTTGCAACATTTATAAATGTTTTCCAGTGTTTGTCAAACATCTTTGCTAGTGAAATGGTAGTTTGACCAGAGGCAAGAATCTTAATAGATTTGAGCAGGAAGCATTGATCTTGGATTTCTTGGCAATGTTATCTTAGACATTAACTGACTTGAATAACA